ATGCGGTTGGCGCTACTGGGGCTGCACGGCGCAGTTTGGTGTTGCTTGCGCGAAAGTTTTTCACTGTGTTGTTCTTGACGTAAAACAACGTGGTGTACTGATTTTCTTAGTGCATAGCGCTTGTGCTCAGAGCAGCCTACTCACAACAATACTTGCAATGCACTCAAAAAATTCAAGTAAACGTAAAATTTACTAATATCAGGAACACATTGTTTTGAAGGGGTGACGAGGTATTTGAAATATGTACCCGTTACCCGTTAGTGATACCTTTCCTGGGCATCCGAGGGAAGTCCCGTACGAGTACTGCATTCTGCACTCCACCTCCATCGGCAACTGGAACTAACTACAGAACTGTGGGCCGCTTTGCCTGCCACTGCGCCGCAATACCGCCAAACACACTATACCCTTGTAAGTACCGTACGCAGACGGGTTGCCTACCCAGACGGGGGCGTGAGCAGAACTCGCCAACGGCCTCCACGGGTATGGATAAGTATCGTTGTCTCTTTCGCGTATAATACTTTCGCTGGATGTCGGACAGAAACATGAGCGAATCTTACGCTATATGATATGGCACACAAGCCGGGACAGTCAGCCACAACACGGATCAGCAAGGTCAAGGACCAGGCCATGCCGGGGCCCGGGGCCCGGGGCCCGGGGCCGGCCCAAACAATGCCGACTGCGCGCGATTACGTGCCGAGAACGCGTGCAGCGGGGTTACGTCAAATTGGTGGCGAGAGAAGAGACGATTATGGTATTTTGCCGTGTGTTTTGTTATTGTTCGCGAATTGGCTTTAGTGGATTGTCTTTTTCTTGAATAAGCACGAGACAATGTTGTAAAATTTAGTCAATCAAAAGTCGACGTTCAAAAATGTTGTTGCCTATTAATAGGCAATTAATAGCCAAGAATTCTTAGTTTTCTCTTCGTACAGTTTTTAAACACTTACTCAACGGGCTGGCAGACGCCGCGGCTGCGAGGAGCAGCACGCAGCAGACGAAGCTCGTCAGCTGGCTCATGGTGACCACTATGGTGAGCACTATTCACACTCGCAGAACAGAAATAGAAATATCGCACACCGACTAGCAACACTATCGGCGTGTCACAGACACAAAAACAAACACGGAGAGACACACACGACTCGACGGGAGGCTGACAACTGACTGACGGGTGCGCGCGCCGGGCGCGCCGCCTTATACAACCGCGGGGCCGGCCGCAGCAGGCCGCAGCAGCGCCGGCCGGGCGGCCAATCCCGGGGCCTACCGTGTATCCTCTTCCCCGAAACGACAGCCAATCAGAGAGACGATGCACGGCGGCGGCGCGGCGCCGGCCGGGGAGGGAAGAGAGATACTGGGGAGGAAAACACTCAAGTACGATCAAAAACATAATATATTCGAAGAACAGAAACTGGGTGGCTGCGAAAAGGAAAAGTTGCCTCGAAATGAGAAATGTAGAAAAACACAAAACAAAACATTTGATGTTTGAAAGTAACATTTTTAATTAAGACTTAACATGCTGAGTCACATTGGAGGACCATCAAAAATTGTTCTCTGTAGAAATTACAAAAAACTTATGAACCGAGCGAAATAGCGCCTCCACATGGTTGATTCGTGCAAATAGATTTACGACTGGGAAAACCCTTCCGCTCTCCCGCATCATCACTTTTCACTTTTTGTTGACGGCGTGACCCACCCTCCCGGGCCGTTATCGAAGGCCTCCCCCTCCCCGACCACATCAAGTCCGCCGTCGCGTCGCTGTCTCGACGGTCCTCCCCTTCTCTCTTTCTCTCTACCTCCGTGGGGACCAGGCGTAAACGAACGTGTCATCGGGGCACTCGCCCCTCCCACCGCCACCCGCCACCCTCGTACCACTTTTCCCCTCTCTGGGCACTTTTTTGGGGACGACCCCGCAAGCCTTTCCCTTATCCGGCGCCGCTCTGACGCCGCCGATGGGGCGTCGCCGGAGTGTCGGGAGGAGAGGTCTGGGCTCGAGACATGCCCCTCTCCTCGCCCCCTCCTCCCACGTGGTTATCACGCCCCCTCCCCCACACAATCACAAGCCGCCCGCCGCGGCGGCTGCGACTCCTTCGCGTGATTGTTTTCAAATCACGTACCGCACGAGGTGCAGCGGGTCACGGTGCGCGCCACGCGACGTCTGTCTCCTGGGACGCGGGACACCGCGACGCGACTGACTCGCTTAGGTGGTTCCGCGAACGAGCTGCGCGATCCCGCACTACTTATGGCCATCTTTCGCTCCGTGAATAACATCAACTACTATTACTGGCAGGCTCCCCAGAAGCGCTACTGCATTAAATGCGCTTCAATGCGCATTCAAATGCACATAAAAGGTGACACGTTGGTGACGCATTAAATGCGCGTAGAGTGCACTAAATGGGCATTAAATGCTGTAATGCGCTTTAAAAGCGTCACCAATGTGTCACCTTTTATGTGCAGTTTAATGCGTATTTAAGCGCATTTAAGCGCATTTAAGGGCATTTAAGCGCATTTAATGCGGTTGGCGCTACTGGGGCTGCACGGCGCAGTTTGGTGTTGCTTGCGCGAAAGTTTTTCACTGTGTTGTTCTTGACGTAAAACAACGTGGTGGTGGTGGTGGTGGTGGTGGTGGTCAAGTAGAAGGGCAACAGGCGCGGGTCGGTGGCTGGGCACCCCCATCCCCGTGGCGGCGCCGTCAGCAGCTTCCAAGACTCTCCCGACGCTCGCCGCGCCCCGGGCCGCGACTGGACCAGACCAAACCGGGGGCGGCGCGATGCTGGATTCCCCACGCCATCGCGGCTCCCTTCCCTCGCCTCGCTCACCTGGTCTCTCCCTCTCTCTCTCTCTCTCTCTCTCTCTCTCTCTCGCTCGCGGAGGGCTCCGGGTGCGTCTGGTCAGGTCCGCGGCGGGTGGCAGGTGGCAGGTGCCTGGGTTTGACTCATCGTGCCGCTCACCGCGGCAAGCACGCCCAGCTGACATGACTCACGTGATTGGGTACCTGGCAGGCGCGCCCAGGCTAGGCGGGCCGCGGCGTGCGCGTGCGTGGGCGCGCAGGTGTCCTCCAGTTGTGGCAGGATGACACTACGCGAAACTGTGTCGGATCGGTAAGACCTCGTAAAGGGGACGTCATGTTGACGTTTACTTGACGAGATCAGGTCAAGATTAGGTCAAAATAATTTGACGAAAGCGGACTGTTATGACGTCAGTGCGACTTGTATGACCCTTTCGTGACGTTTTCTTGTTTGCTGGGTCTATAGGTTGGTCGCGCTGTGCCCCGTCCCAGCAAACGCGTATACTAGCCCGCACGCACGGGTGCGCGTGGGTTGCCTATTCACAAGTCGCAAGGCGCCATGGCCGCAGCCAATAGGCAAAGCAACCTGCACCCGTGCATGCGGGATGGCGGGCCAGTGTATAGTACGCGTTTGCTTGCTGCTGGGACGGGCGAAGCACAGCGACCAACCAGTCTATGATCATATCGAATCGAACGTTGTCACGTTTCCGATATTTCATTTTTGGGTATGCGCGACAGAGATACTAGAAAAGGAGAGCAGAGTGACCTGAGAAGGCAAAAGGGCGATATTTTATCACAGCCTTCTTGTCCTTCTTTCACTCAGATAGTTCTCATTGTGACGTCATGCAGCCTGGACTAGCCTACGCCGCTGGCCGGCACTTTAGCCTGGACATAACTATGGTCGGCACGTGTGCTTCCTGGGCCACCCGACTATCTTCGTACTAGACAGTCGCTAGTTGTTTCCCTGATATACCTGGCACAGTCATCCGTCAGAAAGCTGTTCCACGAAGAGTAGAGTAAATCAGGGAAAAACATAGCGAACCATTACACATGAGCATACCAAACCAGTTTTTTCAAGAGAGCCGAAATATTTTTTTTTTTTTCGCAAAGAGATTATACTATCATCGGGCTGAATCATACATGATTCGCAGAATTACTGACCCAGAGTTAAATTAACGTATAAACATATCTCCCGCGATTTTCGGAGAAACTTTAATCATCCCTCTTTTGGAAATGTGAACGACAAAAGAAGTTGAGAGAAAACATATGGTGTCGCAATCTGCAAAGTGCAGCTCAGCTCGTTTGGTTTCCGTCTACCCGGGCACGGGCTCACTGAGAGGTTATCGCTAAGGTCGATCCATTCCGCGACGAGAATATCACGACTTGTACGTGGTACATACAGCGAACTGCTTGTGCACCGATGTAGTAGCGCCAGCAGCACCCGGATACATTTACTACTGTTTTTGCGCGTAGTATTCCACTACTTTTCACTCCACTCCAGGCAGGCGCCCACCAGTCTGCTTACGCACTACGCCCGTGCTCAGACACACGGAGTAGCGCCGTCGCTACCCCGCATGCCCTCTGGTTTGGGCGGGAAAACGCAAACTGCGCGGGGAAAAAATGCCGGCAACGGGTCCTCCCCGGTCCAGGGAGTCATCGATTCTCTCGCAAAAAAGCTGGAGGAGGAGGGTCGCAGGGCATATGTACCCGGCTAGAAAAAGACTTTTAAAAAGAATTCGCAGCCGCCACCCTCTGGTGGGGGCGATCCGCGTATTACTTTAAAATAACCCCACTAGCATGACGATATAAATATTTTGTGACAGGCAGTGCAGAAAATTTTTGATAACCTTATCAAAAAGTTGTAGATTGTTGGAAAGCGGCCCCGGCGAGCAGGAGCGACGAGGAGGTGGGTCCAGCGTTCTGCGTGCCGGGCCCGGGCCAGGCTCCGGCGCGGGCAGGGGCAGCCACCCCCCGGCGGGGACC